GATCAGCGAAAAATAACATGTATTTCCATCTCTTTGTTCTTGAACACTTTGACGTTCAAGAAATGCGGTATGTTCTATAAATTAGGAAGCGAGAGATGCCAGGGCAGAGCCCTAACTGACTCAAGTTCGAGCAGAAACAGGATTTAGATATATTCCATTTGGATGCTTTCTGAGTTAAGCTCCATCATTGATTTCCCAGAACGACGATCTCTTAGGGCTTATGGCAGAATCGATTCCAAGCTTGGCCCAACAAACTCTCCTATTTGTTTGCAAACTTGGTTCTGCATCCTGTCTAGATGAGCTTTGTGTAGCCCCGATAACTATGGTCTTCATTGTCCACTTCAATTAAAGAATTTTATGACTATTTGCTTATATACCATGTTTGTAAATTAAAACCTAATTTGAGTGTTTCTATGCCTCTACTTTCCTTAATACAATTTGGGATATCCATTGCATTTTATACAATACTATATATATCCAAACGATATTTCCTTTGTAGGCAATCAAAGTGATGAAGAAACCTGACGACTTTTCTAATGAGGAGCGAATTATAGTTCCTCAAGAAACTGGGACACAAATCATTAACGCAATTCCCGAGGAGCACAAGTCGGGTCGCTTGATTCGTATCTACAAGCAGGCCAAACCAGCTACGCAATCTGGCTCCCACGGCACCCGTCTCTGGCGAATTCAGTTTGACTGTAGGGAGCGTTGGGAAAACCCTCTAATGGGCTGGTCAAGCACTGGTGATCCACTCTCTAATGTGAGTGTTGAATTCGCTACAGCTGAAGCAGCACAACATTTCTGCGAAAAGCAAGGCTGGCCTTCTTATGTGGATGCTCCTAATAAACCGATACTCAAAGTCAAAAGTTATGGTGCTAATTTTTCGTGGAATAAACGTACTCGCGTCGGATCTAAATAGTTGGCCTTGTTTTTGATTCGATAGATTTGGTTTCTCCAGCAAATATTCTTTTTAAGTGATTTATTCAGTATCTATTAACATACTAGTACTTTGCCCATTAATTGTATTATTTGTAAATAAATAGTATTAAAAATACTGCCTTTTTATTTCTTTTGAATTGGCTTCATTTTTCCGGAAAATCAGTTACTGAAGCTGTTGCTTTTTATCTCAATGTATCTGTTGCTTTTCATTAATTCTCAGGTAAGTTTAGCTTCTCTATCCGGGCTTTTTTACGTTTGTGCTTTCAGGTTCACTAATGT